ATTTACAAGTCTTCTTAGGAAATAGTTATTTGACAGCTGTAACATATTTCCCTGGTTTGTAGCAGAAAATACATTTTGATAAACTTATTCTGTGTTTCTGACACCAAAGTTATCAGTTCTTAGTCTTTTGAAAAAATTTTTTTGATATCAAATACAGGCAATACAAAGTGTCTTTGAATCTGTTTCTTCCCATTCTTTCAGAAAATACTGATGGATTTTTACATTTGACCACATATCAGGCACCTGTACATTGGGGCATGTGCTCCCTTTTCATATGATTTGCCTTTTTTTTCCTAATCACCAAGGGAGTCCCAAATTCCATTATCAACAAACAACAGAAAATACATCACTTTTAGCATATTCTACAAATATAAAAGAAACTAATGAATATTTGTTCATTGCCCCATGCAACTTGTTGTATGTTGACCAAAACTTTGTCCCAATTGCAACCTGTACCACCTTGTGAGAGTGCTGATCCAACATTGAATCATAGTTTGCAGTTCTTTGCATAGTGTATTATTCCATTTTTTGTAGTCTGTGGATGCCACTGCCACATACATCCTCTAAAGAACATGACCCAATTTTAGCTCTCTACATGCCTCTGCATTTTTTATATGAAAAAGCATACTTTCACTTGTAGGTAGGTGCCAAGTGTTTCAAATGCAAATTGTAATTGAATTTAGAACTTGGGAATATATAAATTTAAAAAATGTAATATTTAAGTATTTGAATAAGATGACAATTTAGTCTCTACAGTGGTTAACTGATTTTTGAGGCCATTCCATATATTAATAAATTGATATTTAAATGTCTTCAGTCTGTAACATTTTTTTTAGAATGTGCTTTTGGCTCTGCAGCTTCTTTCAACACACTGGAAACATAGTTGAATGCTGGCACTATGTTTAATAACTGTTCAGACAATACTTTTGTTTTTTCCAAACTGACTTCAACCTCAAGTATTACTTGAAGTTGTAAACTGTAGAAACAGAAATTTTGTAAGTTTCAGCTCACAGGTTGTCTTTCAGTGTCGAAGCCTTGGAAGTATGCAAAATGGAAACCAAAGGTTGACTTTATAGTTGGTCTAAGGCACAACATTTTCTACATGAATCTGTGTGCTTTTGTGCATTTTCTTTTATGATCTAAATAAAATATAGAACTTATTTGTAATTTTAAGAAAACAAAACTAGAAAATAGTGATGGGACAATACCAAAATTTCTTCTGATTCAGATTTTTCTGAAAAATCCTGATTCCAATATAATTTTGATTCTTTTGAATACTTTCTAAAGTTTATTTTAGTTTAGAAAAGTTACATTATGAACATGGTACATTCATTAATCAATAAACATCAAGATTGATTCTGGATTTCCCAATCATTTTTAAACTTTTGAAAGAAACATGAAAATTCTCCATTTATATATGGATATGCATGCTTTTATTGTATACTACAAAATAAATTTGTAATATTATCTCAGATAAAGTTAATATTGCAAAACTATCCTTGAAGAAATTGCAGCTAATTCTCTCTTACTTGAAGAACTATCCCATCATGTCATCTAGGGTTGCCATCTTTGGAAACTGTTTCATTGGCCAACACAATGACTGGGGAAGGAGGAAGATAAATGAGAAGGTGCATTTATTTTTTCATGCTTCTTGCAATCGGCATGCCTTGTAAATGCTTTAATCCCATAGTATTTAACACTAAATAAGGTTCAGCAAATGATGCAATGAGCTGAACAATATCATCATGAGTTAGTCAATTTTTGAATTCATTCACTTGAGTCACAAGTGTCTAGACCAGGAGTCGCCAAAATTTTTTGATTGACCCCCTACAACTTTTCAAAACCTCACATTAACCCCACAAAAAAATTGTGTTACAAGCAAAACACACTCATACTATTTTAATACATTTCTTTTAATTTTACATTTTTTACATTTATTGTATATATTAATAATTTTTGTAACTGACAATCAGTGAGACGGATGAACTTGATGATTCTTAGCATGATTAGCAATATTTGGTTCAAAATTTGTATTGTTTTTAGTCTTAAATCACCTCAAAGTTCCACATTCAATTTATTTCTCTGTTTGGTTAAGACAGAATTATCATCACTGAAACCAGCTTCAACCATATATGAACTTGGAAATGTCAGCAAAAAAGAATTTACCATATCACAAAGTTTTGTGTATTTTTGTGTTATATTTATATTTGTCCAAATTTAAATTTTTAAAAATTCAATAAGTTTATCTTGCATGTTGATGTCAATGATTTTTCCATTTGATCAAAAAATGGCATCATAATCCATTCTGGGACATCAATATTTTCTAAATCTGCAAAATGCTGTATGATTAAATTCATTGAAATAAGATGTATAGTTGTATTCGTGATTTTTAGTTTTAATGTTTACATTGACCCCCCCAGTAATGTTATATCAACCCCTGGGGTCAATATTGACTGCTTTGAATACCCCTGGTCTAGACTAATTTTTAAAACTCAAAATGGCAGTAAACTTAGTACAAACCAGTCAGAATGCATTCATCTAGTGTCAAATAACTCTTTAAACTTGGCTTCAGGTAAATTCATAATGTCTTGCATTTATTTGAGTCTTATCTGCCTTTTTTTAATTAATTTAATAGTGTTTATAAATGCTGTTATTAAACAGTAAGTGATATTTAACAAATACTGGTACAGAATGACTTTCCTAACAGCTAATGACATCCAACTTGCAATACAATGGACTGCAACAATACAAGGATCAACCTGTTTGATATATATTAATATTAATAATATATCATCAATAATGCTGAAACAAGCTGAAAAAATTAAAGCCATGTCTGTTGATAAATATCCAAATGTGAAAATTGGCCAAAATGTAAGACTGAAAGTGCCTGAAATTGACAAAGCTAAAACCGACCCGAAAAACGTTATTGCAGTTGTAGTAGATGTAAAGGACAACGAGTTTTACCAACTAGGTACCAAAATTGGAGTACTAAAGCAGCTTTATACACAAAATCAATTTACCTCATGTCCTGAAGACTTTATCAAGATAGAAGAAGTTGTTAAAGATAAAGAAGTGAGTCTTTGAGAAGTTGTCGCAAAATTGTTTTGACCGTCAGGACAAGGTTTCAAGAAATGCAACTACCTAAAAAAATGTGTAACAAAGAAGTACACTTGCAAGTCATCAGGATTACTTTGTAATTCTAAATGCCATGATAGATCATGTTGTAACAAGTAAAATCCTTTTTTTTACTTTTATTAAATGACAATGAATATCAAATGATTAGAAAAAATACTGTGATTACTGATTAGCTTAGCCAACGTAAGCTATCTTATTATTTTTGACAAGATAATTTAATTTTTTGTTATGTTAAAAAAGTATTTTTAAACTGTTTCACTAGTTATTAGTAAATAGGACTTAGTAAGTTGACTGTTAATTTACAGTCAGTGTCAATGTACACATCAATCAGCGTAAGTACGACTACCTACGCTGAGCTTGCCAGAAAGGGTCTTTAGTGTTGTCTCATAAAGGTGTGAAAAAAGAGAAATACTTTACAAAGAAAAACTATTTATTATTACTAAGTTATTTTTGTTTACTTAATAATCATTTTAATGTTCTTTTTAACTGATGAAGATCGCTAAAGACGATTGAAAACGTTTTTATGATGATCATCGTTTTATTTCCAAAACCAACATTTACTAATCGTCTTTAGTAAAACCTATCATGTACCAAATTCTAATGGTAAAAGCCTGGAAAATCATCTCACTTTATAAAAATCCTTACATTTACCAACTCATGTTGGTTAATCCGAAGATTTACAAGTAAAACCTAGGATTTACCAATATATGGGCTTTTACAGTAACATATACGTGGATAAGGCCATAGATCTCTTCTTATGAGCTGTCATATCTATGTTCCACCATCTATTTTTTTTAAACATAAATAACAGAGGAGTAAAGCTACTAGATGAATGTACTGTGATTATTTGTGAAGTACAGTTTTGTGTGATTTGCTTTTACAATGACAAACTGGTATGAGCCAATTTTACATAAATGCTGCTAATTAATGTAAACAAATTCCTACTATGGATTTAAAATATGAAGTGACTAAATCAAAATTACAAGTAAGTCATCTTTAGTTTTGATTTTGTTAGCATTAATTTCTACTATTACTTGTTTTTTTTGTCATATGCAAGTAAAACAAAAAACTTGCACATTTAAGCTAGTGCTATTGTTTTAAATGAAATTATTTTTAATTGTCAAAATTCACTTTATAATGATAGAGCAATGAGTGTATAGCTTAAGTGACAATTATTAAATTATGTGCCTTAATCATCAAAATTCCTTGAAATGATATCATTATGCAGATAGGGAGAATTACTGGAAATTTATCAGCTTTTAAGATAAAAAATTCAAATGGAAATGTGTAATATCAATCAAAGCATGGTGCAGAAAATGAAGGGGGAGAGAAATAAAGGTAAAGTTTATGTATACGTGTATTTGGTAGTTTTGAAAAACCGTGATGGTAGACAAATGTCTTCAGCATACAAAGGATTTTTTGCATTTTCTAAAGACACTCTTTTATTAAATGACTTTATACAAAGGAAAATCTGCTTGATGAGTTCATAACTGCGATTCAAAATTGTCATTTAACCTGCCTCATTGCATAACTCACACTTGCTTTCAAACTGCTTTTTAAACAGATAACCTGTGAGTTATCCGTACAAAATTACAGTAATTATTTTATGACATGAAAAGACCTTTTTGGAAAAACTAAAGGAATGCCAAATGTTTATAAAACCAGAATCCTAAATCATCTTAATATCAATAGAACAGGCTTCTGTATGAGGATTTTGAAGTTAAGTGAATTATTTCAGAAGCAAAAACTTTTATATCTAAATATCATTTGCAAAAAGTAATGAGATTATAGATAAATTTAAGAAATTACAATAAAATAACTATGAATTAATTTTTTTAATGTTTATTCTGAATAATTTGTTTCAGATGATTCACTCTATCCATTTTTGAATGAAGTGAGTTGAAATATTTTTCAAATATGTGTTGTTGTATTAAAGTTGTTTAAATATACTGATGTTTTATTTCAAATGAACTATTTATTTAAATTTTAAATATATAAAATTTTCTACAGCTTTTTATAGTTCAGCTTGTTGTAGTATTAAATGTAGTATATATACAATTACAATTAAATAATATTTTTCTGCAACAACAATTAAATTATAAACTAGACAGTTTAATGTTAATTGTTTTACATTCTTGTGACTGTAGCTAGGTAATTTTCTAATTGACTTTCATCTGCTTATTATAAGAACATTCACATTGAGTTATTGTATTAAAATCTTCTGATGTCAAGGCCATCAGATATATACTGTATATTACTAAAACAGGTTGCCCAGTGATAAAAGGATATTGAAATAAATTGTTTAAACTCTGAAATACTTATTTTTTTTATTTATTTTAGTGTTCTGTATTTTTGTTAATGTAGNTGTTTGTTTTTAAATGCGTTTACTTTAAGATTTATTTGATTTTTTTTTGTGTGTGGATCATAATTTTGTTCGTTTATTTTAAAGCTTAATAACTTTTTTTTTTTTTTTGAAAATTTGTGAAATTTTGCAGAGAGGTTTGAGTATTAGGGGATTTATGCTATTAAATTTTAGTGGTTAAAGGCCAAGGGGATGGAGAGACAGAGGTGGGATCACATCATGTCTTGAGAGTGGTCAGACTTAATATATTAAGATTTTACTCAAAATTAGCATTTACAATTTTTTTATAAAACTCATCTATGTCTTCAAAATTGAACTTTTTGTCATTTTATAATAATTAATTATATAAAAAGTTTTTAATAAAATATAACAGATGGCATCCCACACAATTTTAAATATTACTAGCAAAGTTATGCATCTCACTGCAGGACCTGCAGGATTTTTTTTAGTTTTCTGGATAATTCATTAATGCTGTGAAAATATACTTATGTCAAATTGTGAAATCCTGTCAATAATGGCAATATTACTTCAGTTCAATTATATTATAGTTATGATATTGTTACCTTAAATCTAAATTTTTACTTACTCATAGTGAGAATATGAAAATTGCTTGCTTGTTCTTCCAAAACAAGTTAAAATTTTTAGTAAATGACTAATTTTTCAATCATTTTAAAATTCAATAGAATAATTCCAATACAAAATATCTGGAAATATTGATAGAAAGCAGAAAGTTACAACCAAAATATATTGAAAAATGTTGATTTTTTTTAGCCAATTTTTGTTTTGTTGCACACCGGTCAACGGTTCATAGGGTAGGTTGTTTTTTTTTTAATTGATTAGAAAACAGCTGAGAAGTTAGTTTAGATTTAATTTAAACCAAATTTCAGTTAAATTCAAGCTTACATTTATTCTACATGAGAAATAAGGCATTTCCTGCTTGTGTTTGTTACTAATTATTATGTTTATTATTTATTTTAGATTAAAAAATAGTTAAGCAAAATCATTAAATAAAAGTTATGCTTTTCTTAACACTAGAATGATAAACCTTTCTGATTTCCTTAGAACATCATCTAGCAGTCAAAATGAATGTGACATTCATTTTGACTGCTAGATGTAATGTCACCTTCTCTTCTCCTTTATGACATATTTGTAGTAAATTAAATTACTAGTTTTTTAAGTACAAATTTGAAATGCATAAATTAAGTTATTTATTTAAATCTTTTAATATATATAATTTAATACATGAGAATAAAAACAGGATTTTCTATAAAATCTTATAACCAATTTTAAGTGACTGTACACAATTTTTCTTTTTGTGTACATACTGAATGTAATTTTGTTTTTTAATCTCTGAAATTTCTACAAAATACTTTTTTTCAACCAGAACAAAAATTGGTTTTTATTATAGTATTTTATTGTAACCTAATATTATAATCTCTTAGCTTGTAATAGGGTTTGTTTACTCAGCTGCTGAAGAATAGTGTTATCTTTTGTTGAACATGCTTGTGCCTAAGTTTGTCAAAAAAGTTTAGTAAAAGATTGTTCCTACTTACATTTTGTCTGGTAACTTCTTTATATATTATTCACTTGTTGGTTCCTGCTAGGTCTAATACATGAACCAACCATCTCTTGCAAGCTGTTCTAACAATATACTTATGATCAGTCTGGCCTACAATATTGATATCATATTTTGTTGAGTTGTAAGGTTGTACTGTTTCAGGTCATTATCAGGGCTGCAGAATATATTGGGACTGAAAATTTCTCTGAAGATTATTGAACATTAGAGAGGTTGCGGCTGACGTTTTCAATGCGAAAACATGTACGTTGGACGTTCAGTGTCACCTTCCTGTAAACCTAGAAGTTTGACAATGGTGTTTAGAACGTCAAGCATGATTCCACTGACGTTCCAAACGCCATTGCCAAACATCTAGGCTTACAGGAAGGCAGTGCTGTAATTGGTCTGTCTATGATTTGTTGTGTAAAACTGAACTGGTAAATTAACTTAAAAATTTTTAAATTAAATTAAAGCATACTTTTAGAATTACAGTCAACCCCCCATAACGTGGTAGATACGTTCCACTTTATAAGAATTTCGCATTGTAGGAATCCTTAAATACATGAGCCAATCACAGCCTGACACACGTGCAGTTTACAGACTATGGCTGTTTGAAAGGTTTTCTTCCATAAAATTAACTGATTCTAGACTAATTTCACTCAACATTTCCAAAACACGTATAATTTTTTGGGAATAATCTGTGTAAACTATGCTATAAACAAAAAATTGTAGGATTGCTTACTGAGTGTGCACTGTTCGACCACGCCATTGCTTAAGCTTGTTTTCATCACGGAGCAGTGCACCAAACGGCGAGCGTGTTTTCTGATAAGTTATTTTTCTGCGAAAAATTCATTGAACTTTGGAGACATCATTAATAGAAATAATTTTTATGGCTGTTGAATAAGAAATGTTTTTTTCACAAGAAATGTATAAAATTACAGTACTGTATTAGACTTAAAGTACCTAATTTAGGCCTATATACTGTACATACGATAGTAAACTCAATCCTGTCTTACCCGCCTAAACTCTCCATAGCGTGTAAGTAGTTCGGCTGCTCATCCACTATTGGTTTAATATTCGACCAATCCTGTCACAACACGAGTCGGCGATGACATTTTACTGCATTTTACGAGTCTCTTTTAGCGTCTTTATACTAATATGGTTGCAATTTTTTCGCCGCAATATACGAATTTGCATTATATGAACCCACGTTATAGGGGGTCTACTGTATTTAAGCACATCATCATCACAGGATAGCACACAATTATAAACTTAATGTAAATACATTGATTTGATTAATGGAAATAAAATTGATGTTGATGGATGACCTAATTACAGCACAAGATGCTAATTAATTGACTTTTTATGCCCTAAAATGCAAAACGTTGAATTTTGCAAATTTTTATGAAAATTGTTTAAGAAATGAATAATTTTTTTTAAGTTTTTGACTTTATTATTATTATAATTTTTTAAAAATGAAGGCATATTTTTGATTCAAAATTTAATATGAAATAAAAAATATCAGCAAAATATATCTATGGAAAAGAAAAATATTTTACCAGTCATTTTATAAACTTTAGGCATTTAATCAATACAATTCAAGAAAAGTTTTTAATTGCAGTTTATTAATTTGTAAATTTTCCATTTGGAAATGAATAAATATTTCATTTTAATCATCACAATATTGAGCTTCCTCTGTTTAGCAGATTAAAGAATATAAAGATATTTGTTTTATATAGAAATTTATATATTTGAAGTGCTGAATATTTGTTTTAATTCAAGGTGACATGAAATTTTACTCGTTGGTGTTAGTTTTGAAATAATAATGGCTTTTTTTTTTATTTATTTTTAAGCTCTTGTTTTAGTTTTTCATAAAAATTGAACTGTGGTTTTGTAACCAAGACCAACTCATCTTTACTGTAAATGCATAACTGTGTGAGTAAGCAGTAACGTAACAAGTGAATGAACTGATCAAAAATAAAGTAAGAAAAAAAATGTTTCAATACTTTATTTTTAAAATAAGATTCCTGCATTTTGACTAATTCTCCAATTAATGTCTACAGGCTTAGCTGATATGCTTCTTCAGTGGCAAATTATCCTATGGGTGAAAAGGGAAATTGTCTGTGGCTCCAATGTTATATCAGAAAATATTTTCTTAAAAAAATTCCCCCAAGAAATGGGAGACTGTACATGGGGGCCTCTGATTCAGATTTATATGGGCCCCATGAAGCTATAATGTGCTGCTCCATTTTATTGTAATGTTTTTGTGATTCTTGCTGTAATATTATTTTACTATCGCACGCTTCTCTGGATCTACATTAATTTTTCCTGAATCTCATTCATGTGATTGGAAATATTTTTCACTCACCAGAGATGCAGAATATGTTCAATCACAATCACCAATATTTACATTAGACTGTTTAAGACTAAATCTAGAACATTTTTCTTCCTTTTGCTTTGATATATAGTGAATGTAATACCATTTTTGCTCTTTGTCCAAAATTCTAAATTTTGAATAAAGAGTTTTTTATTAATATAGTTGCATACAACTCCTGAAATTTCTTTTTTTTTTTTTTTTCATACTTTGTTGTGCCCACAATGTTCATTTGCATTGTCTTCAATTATCCAACAGGTTTGAGAAATGTCAAAAAATTGTAATGTTCTGTTCTAAGATATGGTTCTTTACTTTAAGGATTGCATTTTCAAAGAGAGACCCATTTTTGGGGTGCATTTCATCATCATCCTAGAAAGGACTGCATTGCACATATATTTTGATTTTATATTTGTAAGCATCCAGAATTTGATCCTGAATATATCTGGTTTATTTGCCATGTCTGTGTAATTTACAAGTCTTCTTAGGAAATAGTTATTTGACAGCTGTAACATATTTCCCTGGTTTGTAGCAGAAAATACATTTTGATAAACTTATTCTGTGTTTCTGACACCAAAGTTATCAGTTCTTAGTCTTTTGAAAAAA